CCAAAGAGTACTCAGGGGCATTAAGGCACGTCCCAGCACTGGAAACACCCAAATGCTGTATCTCCAAAACTAAAGGGGTTACACACATCAAACCTGAACAAGTGTTTGTAAACAACAACAAAAATCGACCACACCCACAAACAAGGTCACGTGATCCATAGTGGGCGTGTACCGTCCGTATTTTACGTCATTTGTTTAGACTAGCAACGGTAAGGAACTAGCCAACGAAGGAATATTTCACTTATGTCAAACAGTAAAACAAGTAGCGAAGTCATTATGTTTTGAATGGGAACTTACGAAACCTTCCCGTAGCGGTCTTATGATGGCTTTCAGGTTACCGGCTACAATTATGGCGTGGCAAATGACTCATACCTCCGCTAAACGTAAGAGCCGCCCGTTCCCATCCGAGTAGGTGAAAGAGCTATCCGTCAGCTGTCTTACGAAGGCAGAGCTATAGCTCCTTCACTGCTCTCCACTTACCGTTGCCCGGTTTTAGTTAATCGTACAGCGCGATTGCTGCGTCTCTAGCACGAATCTGAGGTCAAAGGTGAGAACATTGTGCGCATGCGCCCTCCAGCGATGCGCGCGGGACAATTCGCGGTAAAACTCAACCAGCTGACATGACAGAGCTAGAGATGCGTCGGTCTACGCTTTCTTCTATATTCATAATAGAAGGTAATAACACTAGAAAAGAACATTAGGCATAGTTTTGATAAGGTACATGTACACAGGTCCATGATGGAACTGCAGGTGAATTGTGGATTTGCTCGTGTGGTGATCCGCAAGTTCTCTACCCTGCACAAAAGACAGAAGTTCAGTCACATTGATAGAAAAGAGCGTGCAAACAGGTTTCAACAATTATTTAGAGGTTTAGATGGAATTGAGGACTCCTTATTTGAGTCAGTGAATGAAAAGGAGAGTAGGTTCGATATTTTATGCAAGAGGGTGAATGTTCTATTCAACAAGTGGAGCAATCGAGATCAAAGATTAGGCTATTTAGCCGAATTTTCCCCAGCTGTGTGGGACAAGCTCCCAAAAATAAAACAGAAAAGGCACACGTTTGCTAAATGTAAAGAGTGTGCACTTACTTATAAAAATGCTCAACAAACCTTCCCAGGGGTGAAATTTACACCTGGTAAATCTTTAGCTGAATGTGCTAGTGTTCTTGTGGAACAGAACAAAGCTAGCAAGTCAGAGCAAACATCCACCAAAGAGATCTTGTTAGAGCTTGACACATTGTACCAGGCAACATATGGACACTCATTCACTCAGTCTCTGGTGGAATGCAAAACTGCAGGTATTCAAAACAAGCCTACAGGAGTTGAAAGGAAAAGAGCAAAACGCACACTGCAACGCGAATGCAGAGATCAGATCACTAAACAGCTTCATAGGTCTGATGCAATTACAGTGCTGGCAGAAGGCCATTCGCTGGCATCATATCAGCGGCAGCGCATTGCTCAATCTTTTAAAAGCCCTAAAACCACTCGGGAGAGGCATAAAAACACAGAAAAGAAACATTCACCTTCATCTAACAACGTGCAATGGGATAAAGAAAATTTGCTGTCTACACTACAAAATTGGCCGCAAGGGAAAATTATCAATTGGTCTGCTATAGCTAGACAATACCATGTACCTGGCAAGAATAAGGGTCAAGTAGTTAAAGAGTTTGCAAAGGAGAATGGAATTGAAGTGTTTAAACTTGATAACCGCCCATGCAACACTCGTTTGAGAGCACGCATGCTCAGAATGCCTAGTGGTCAAATATCCGTACCTGTACATAGAACTGTTGAAGGGGTTAAAAACGATTGGAAGGAAATGATTGAAAAAGGAGAGTTGACACTAGGTGAGCCTTGCTACCCACACACACTTCGCAAGTACACAATACAAAATGGAGAACTGCAGAAAAGTGAAACTGTAGTGTATGGTAGGAAAATCAGCCTACTGGAAATAAGAGAGAATTTGTTGCACAGGCATGAAAGTATTATGTACCTGCAAACAGATGAGGAGATTGCAGGTCTCTCAAAGGAGTGCCTGCTCGAGCAATACAAGCAGCGTAATATAACCCTTCCCGATGATCTATCAGAGCAAAATCTACGCGATACACTGAAGCAATATGAAAGAACGCGACACATTGCCATATGGCACGATCACTCAACAATTCTTGGGAGAGGTTATATATTACTCACAGCTAAGATCCTTTATGATTCAGCAGTATTTAAACGTAGTATCCCCAATGCCCAGTCCATACAGGCCTATGTAGAAGAGCCTGAAATTAGCATTATAGCTATGTCATCATCTACAATCCATGATCAAGCTGCACTAATATCTGACCGTGTGAACTGCATCCAAGATATGAGTGTAGTACTCAACACAAGCAAAGGGATCCCTATAAATGATCGATTGGCATTTTTCTATGGAGATAAACCTGCCGCACAGTTTGAGCGAGGAACACAGGTCGGAGGACACTACCCTTGTGGAGCATGTGGAGCACATGTCAGCCGGTTTGATGACTTTGCTCATCTGTCTAACTTCAGCTGGCGAGGTTTGCAGGAACTGCAGGCTCTAGTAACTAAAGGTACGTACAGTAAAATATTATGCATTTGTTGTAGTACTATACTATATACATGTAGTTTGCAGCTGCTCACTAACTATTCCTACAGGTCCAGCTGGGAGAGAGGCAGGAAATGCTAAGCCATTTGAGAGGCTAAGCACAAACCAACTGAAACAAGAACTACGTTTAAGGAGGGAATTTGACTTCGGAACAACTAAACAACAATTGACAAAAAGTCTCAAAAGAACACTCTGTGGAGCTCAACGTGTTCCTTCTCTTATACTGCTAAACCCAGTGAAGACACTAGCTGAAATGAAATTGGAACATTACACTATCCTAGATTGTGAACCCTTACATGACCTTAAAGGGCACATCCAGAATGTGTTAGATGAAGTTCCAGGAAGACTAGAAAAGAATCTTGCATTTGAGGTTAGAGCGCTCATAGATACTGATCTGGGGAAAGATATGAAAACTGGTGGAGACTACCGACTAACAGCAATTCACTTGCTCACTCTTTTACAGAAAAGGGCAACACATCCGGATATACTACAGCTTATACAGTCATTAGTTGAAATATCGGAACTTTTGTATGCAGATGACAGTAAGCGCTCTCCCAAGTCAATTCTTAGGCTATATAACCTAACCTGGGTACATTTTGAGCTCTGCTGTCAACTGTTCCAAATAACCAAAACAATGTCACACCAAAAGATGTTTGGCATCTATCTCCATGCACTAATTATTCATGCTGCTTCGCAGTATGAGATTATGAGCCTAAAATCTGCAAATTCTGAGCATGAAGAGAGGCTCTTCGGGCAGGCAAAAAATATGGTTCATTCAGCAACCAATCGACAGCCAACAAATGTGATCCCAAATATCTTACTGCGGCTTCAAGCTCGCAAAAGGCAGGGAGACCTACACAAAGCCAACACAATTTCAAGCAAGATATCAAAAGAATTCCATGAAATGGACTGTACATCAAAAAACACAACAGTGTCTCATACTTTTATCTCAAGCCGAATGAGCAGTTGGCAGTCCCATCTTGTCCGTATCTCTCCTTTTCTTCTGGCAGGGAAAAATGTATGGTGGAAGAAAACCAAAGATGGGTATGAGTTCTTGGACAGAAAACATGAACCTGATTCACATGCCACTGGTCCTCGTCTTTTTCACTTTCGCAGCAAAACACTGGAAATGGTGTATAAGGAAAAAAAGCTTGTTTTTCAGCTACTTCTAGATCACAATGTAGATCTACCCACACTGTACATAAAGTTGTATAGCGAGGATGGAAAATTCATTGGAATAAAGCAATTCAATGAACAGGGAATTGCAGAGGGAGCAAATGAAGAGATGGAAGACGAGCCAGAGACAGACAAGAATATGCAGATAATGGTGGAGAGAGAGAGCGGAGAGGAAGATGAGCAGGTGGAAGACGAGCCAGAGACAGACCAGAATATGCAGATAATGGTGGAGAGAGAGAGCGGAGAGGAAGATGAGCAGGTGGAAGACGAGCCAGAGACAGACCAGAATATGCAGATAATGGTGGAGAGAGAGAGCGGAGAGGAAGATGAGCAGGTGGAAGACGAGCCAGAGACAGACCAGAATATGCAGATAATGGTGGAGAGAGAGAGCGGAGAGGAAGATGAGCAGGTGGAAGACGAGCCAGAGACAGACCAGAATATGCAGATAATGGTGGAGAGAGAGAGCGGAGAGGAAGATGAGCAGGTGGAAGACGAGCCAGTCCAGAATAAAGAGTTAAAAACGAAGCTCTGCATAGCAATTTCAAAAGCTCTCGGAAGGGATAGACTAGACCTCATTCTTACACTTGATGGTATTCGGCATAAACTGAAACATGAAAATCGAACCGAGGAATCTATCTCTCAACACAGGCACTACATCTCTAAAATAAAGGAACACCTAAAAAAACAAGAATCAGCTTTGAAGATTCAAATAAAAAACTTAGAAAACTCATTCTACCTAAAACACAACCGTTTACCTGATGAAGACACAGAAGACTACCGCTCCCTAATAAAGTCAAAGCGCTACATTGCAAAACTCCTAAAATGTCCGGAATTTTAGTGTGTATCGAGACGTTGCCTACACCCCGCAAACACATTGACTACAGTTATTTGTATCCAGTTACGACTCACCAAGCGCTTCTGCATCACCTCCGATCAATTTTCCACAGGCATTGGACTGCTATCCTTGTCAGTAGGCCGTTAACTCAGGTGTTCCTCGACGTTGTGCGCTCACCACACCCGACCCCCAAGCGCCGGCGCGCGCGCATTACTTTTTAAAATTTCTACGTACAGTACGCAAAATTAGAGTATTACGGTATACGTATAGTATACGTAACGTTGTGCGTAAAGTGCGTAAAGTGCGCGTAGAATTATTTCGGGACGCGCCTTAACGTCCCTGAGCCTCGAATTTCCACCGGAAGACCGAGCCAGTATTGGAGACACACACGAAACTCGCCATTTCTCCAGGTGACTTTTCAGTGGCGGGAGTTGCGACTGCACTGGCAGCTGGAGTTGGCGGTGGACTGTCTGTGGTCTTTGTTCTAGTGGTGTTTTCAATCGGATTCCTGTGTGCACTTTGTTTCTGCAGGAGACGCAGGAATACGAGTACGGACGAGTGAGTCTTTTATGTGGGAAGTTTTACTGATTAGTAAAGGCATTTTTCGAATGGCCTATAATATTATTATATCTGAAAGAGGTCGTTTAGGCATTAATTTAGTTAAAAGCTCACTTACAAAAGTTGTTTCATAATAGTGCATTGACAGTTATCAGAACCACATGTAGATACACATCAATAGAGGAAGAAAGGGCACAATTTCAATCCATAGTCTGCATAACGCTCTGTGGCAGTGTTTGTGATTGATGATGATGATTATGCTATTTAGGGAAAGTGAATTGTCGTTGAATACTATGGATAGTACACCTCCACCCCATCATTATGATGAGATTCCACCCCCTTCTGGCGAGACTCCTCCCACTTTCAACGAGAATCAATCCCCTCCTATTGAGACTCCACCCACATCTAAGAAGACTCAACCAGCAACAAACAAGACTCCACCTACTTCCGACAATCTAATGTCTAACGAGACTCCGCCCCCTTTTAATTCCACCCCGCCCGTATCCAGGTACACTCTCCCTCCCAAGTACCCCTCTTCAAATCTTTCTCCACCGGAACAAATGGATCCGTCCTCCAGACAGGACTCCCGAGGTTCAAACACGGATAATCCCGACTCTCCCTCACATAGTGGTGGCTGCGAACAGGCTGGTAACCGTACTCCACGTCAGGTGTCACAGGAACAGGCCAAAGGTCTCCACTCTACTATATAGCTATATACTCTACCTTACACATCAGTGTGGCTATACTAATGCACTGTCCATCTACAATGCCACATTGTGTATACATGCGAAAAGACTCTGCAATTTGGTAGCGAAGAATTGAGAAATGATTGCTCGGACTACAATATAGTGATTATGCCTTAAATTGTTGCGAAAATCTTCCTCTCAAATCCATATATAATATCAGCCTTCGGTTCAAGTTTTGTATGCTATTGCTATAGATAAGAGCTAAGTTTAGCTATGTCATAAGCGAACAACCATCTATATATGTCTCTCTGTGCGTACCAGTAGCTATGTGACAGTGTTTCATATGTATAATAGGTCGGGCGCTGAAGTACAAAGATCTGGTGGTGGAGCTAAAGGATCTGGCAGCCCAGTGGTACATCATGGGTCTCCAGCTGGGACTGAGTCCAGCGACGCTCGACGAAATCGGTGGAGGAAGAGACGACGCTTCAAACTGCCTCAGAAACGTCCTACAGGAATGGTTGGAGAGTTCCACACCGTGTACCAAGGCCAAGATTGTGGAGGCCATTAGGTGTCCTACCATCAAGATCATGTGGTTGGCCAAAAAGATAGAAAATAACACAGGTAAGCTTATAGTTACAGGCAAGAAAACGCATGTGCACACAGTGTGTGAATTCAATGGGCTACTAATGATGTGTCCTCATAATAACTTGGTCACAAATTAGTGACTTCTCTGCAATAGCGTTAAGTGTCAAAAGGCTCTGCAAAAACTCGAAAAAGTAAGGTTCATCTGGGGGTTGAACCCAGGACCTTCTGCGTGTAAAGCAGACGTGATAACCACTACACCAATGAACCAGACACACTTACAGTTTGTTCTCCCAAAACCTCACGTAGCTAATTTGTCAGCAAAAACCATTTAAAGGCATAGTAACCATAATACGGTTTCCCTTCCCCCTTGCCACACACCTCACTACACAAATCTGTTGCCCCCACAGAGATCCCTGACCAACTAACCATCGAAAACCACTCCCTACTTCACGACACGCTCACCAAAGCTCTCGCACACAAGTTCCAGGAACTCGGGGTGCAACTAGACCTGGAGCTGTCCCAGATCCAGGCTCTCTCCTACAGAAGAGTGGACATGAGTGAACACCTGCACAAGATGCTGGAGCGGTGGATGAGCGAAGGCCAGTGGAGTAGTGACGAGAGAGCTGAGCCTCTGAGGCGCATCTGTGAGGCTCTGGAGAGTGACTGTGTGAGACAGAGGCGACTGGCTAGAGAGCTGAGAGAGAAATGGAAAGACTGCTACTGTGAGGTTCACGTTGTATCTGGTGTTGTTACTGTACTAAACTCTGTTTCTTTCTGCAGTGGCTATTGTGGACACATGAAAAGAGCTTTTGATACTAGAAATGTCACCATGTTGTGTTTGTTAGTTTCATAATTATATGTCAAACGTAGCTAACGCCCTTGCACCAAATGAGAAAACTTACTCTTCAGTGCAGCAGACTTGATGTCCTCCGTATAATAACCTTCGCCCGGCCCTCAGCATTCGGTGTGAATGGCATGACACGCATGCGCATATGGGGGAGTCTGCCCTAGCTATATAACGAGCGCGAGCGGCGGAGGATCGAGATCTGGAGAACCCGTGGAGGATTATAGTTTGGACCGGACGTGGCCAGATCCTGATTGCTACACCTGCTACAGCAGCAAGGAGTAAAACGTAGCTAACGCCCTTGCACCAAATGAGAAAACAGTACTCTTCAGTGCAGCAGACTTGATGTCCTCCGTATATAACCTTCGCCCGGCCCTCAGCATTCGGTGTGAATGGCATGACACGCATGCGCAAACACTGCGCATACACGCATGCGCATATGGGGGAGTCTGCCCTAGCGCGAGCGGCGGAGATCGAGATCTAGGGCAGCTTTGTCGGCGGGGAGAACCCGTGGAGGCTCTATATAGTTTGGACCTGACGTGGCCAGATCCTGATTGCTACGCCTGCTACAGCAGCAAGGAGAAAAACGATACTTACGGCAGTTTTTGTAGCTAGAGCAGGAGAGTTACAGTGCGTTATTTTCGACGCCGGGCGTGGATGTGAGTGTGAGCTAGCTAGTTGTGGTTGCAGGCGTGTTGGAGAGGACCGAGTGCATTGTGTGAACATTTCGTGTTGTCGCTGAGGAGGTGTTATGGCGGGAAGTGCTCGCTGGGCGGTAGTAGGACTGGCGTGTCTGCTTGTCTTGTTGGGCCTCACTCCCTCGGCCGTGGAGGCGATATTGCTGGAAGTAGATTACCCGGAGGATGACAACTACAGCCGTGTCACTCTGACCTGCAAGAAGAGTTCTCTGGACGGCCTTGATTCCAACCAACAACCAGCCACGTTCTGGCGAGGAACGTCGCCAATCACCTCTGGATCTCAACTGGTGGTGGCGGTAACGGATAGTACGGATGATATCATCACGTTCGTCTTCAACCAGTCCCAAGAGGGAAGTTTCACCTGCAGGACCGCTCTCGATGAAGCCTCGACTAATGTGGAAAAACTTGCAGGTAGAGTAGTTATACAGTATTGGCAGTACTGCAGTTGTTAGTAGTGTGTGTGTGTGTGTGACTGAGAATTTACTGCTTGCACTCTATTCTCGCAGCCTCGCCACCAGCCACCTACAATACACCAATGATGCCCCAGTACATTCTGTTTCCCTCACTCGAGAGCACTCGAAAAGTCAACCTCTCCTGTGCAATTCAGCCTGGAGCTCTAACAGAAAACTACCGTGTAGAGTGGCGTAGAGTAGACCAACTCCCATTACTTACAATGAAGATACGTTCAATATAACAGTGACTGAAACGACGAGATGTCATCAACTCCTTCTGAGTACCAGTGTACTGTTACCATCGATCACAGCAGCATCATGGATGATGAGAATTACACACCACCTAAATTTTTGTTGAAAAGAGAGGTGAGAATTCAGTAGTTTTGTCCTATCCCTGCATTATCACACTTTCTCTCTACAGTACTGTCCACCCTGAGTGGTGAGATTGGAGATGTATCAGTAGCTGCTGGAGAACAGGCTACCTTTGTCTGCAACGCTCTGAAAGGAGACACCCCCTTTTCAATCAGTTGGAAGGTTGACGGAGAGACGTTCACCTGTGGTGGAAACCGACTCAAGCTCGGAAAACATTCGCTGCTACATGAAAAATGAAACTGCCGGTGTGCTCCAAATAGAAAACACCACGGCTTTGGATGTTAAGAGCCACAGTGTAGAGTGTATTCTAGAGAACGTCATTCCGGAAGAGTTTCTGGGAGATTGTGACTTGCTCCCTCGGGGTTCTTGTGATGATGTCACCAAGAGTGCTCCAGAGATAGAACGGACCACCCATGTACTAGCTGGAGTCGTTAAGAGCACAGCGTGATGAGTGTATTCTAGAGCAACACCATCCAGGGTAGACTTTCGCGGGGAGATTGGGATGCTCCACTCCAGGCTATTTGTGACGGTCACCAAAAGTGCCACTCCAAATTCGAATGGTCAAAGAAAACAAGTACGCTATGATTCAGTATCTACTGGAGGGTCCTGAGGTTGACATCAAAATTAAGCCTCATGTAAATTCAAAGAAATCAGCCTTTTTTCCGAACATCAACTTCAACCAAAGGACGCATTCAGCAGTTAGCATTGTCAAGTAGGCCAAGAGCTGTAGTTTCCGAGCTTACGAAGGAAAGAGGGGGAGAAATTGAAGCTCGAGGGATTGCAGGGTTCCCTCGGAATTGCTGTCAGGTTTCGTATGCCAGGAAAAAGCATCGTAGTGGGCATTCTGATCCGTTATACAGCATTATGCTTGAATGCAAGCTATCATCAAAAGAGTTTGAGCAAGATGTAAAAGCTGCTCCCTTCCCCATGAGTGTTATGTGTTCTCGGTGGCAAATGAATGACATGGTCGGTTCTTAACAGCGTAACCATCACTTTTGGTGTGTTGACTGTAGACACCACATATAAGCTTGGAGAATTCTTTGTCACACCCATGACGTACCCTCACCTGATGGATTGAGACATCAAGACCAAGAGGCATCCATCATGTTGGGTCCCGGTGCTTGTCACCAAAAGATTTTTCGTATTTGATAAGTACCTGACTGGTTTGCATAAGGAGCTTAAACAACATTACGCATGCGTTCATGGCGTTAATTCCATACTGTTAGTGTTTATGGTAAGTGGACACACACACAGTCTAATGTTTGCATACCTCTCTCCATTTATGTCGTTTGTGTTAAGGTAGTGGGTAGTAGTAATGGCAGCGTGACGTGTAATCTCGTGTTGGTCTGTATATATAAAGTTTGGACAGATGGAGACAAAGCATTAGTTGAGCTTATTCACACAATGATCATACACCTTCGTTGCTTTCTTCTTTTCAAGAAGAATGTAGAGGAAAAGCTCTGAGACACTGTGGGACAGAATGAAGTGTCCATATTTGACGCGTGAACGTTCAATGCATCTACGTCAGGGATGCAAACTAGCACTCGCCCGCCCGCGGGTAAATTACGGCGTGGACGGGCGCTAGCGCCTAAAGCGGTCGCCCGGCTGGCGAGAGAAACTAGACAGACTTAGTGGAGTTGTAATAGCGAAGATCAGTCGTAATATATAGCTCGGTTTGTAGCGTGGTTTAGTTCGGTAGTAGACTCGACGGGAGCCCCGCCGCGGAGAACCGCGCGCGACGCATACGCGACGCATGGGGGCGGGGTGAGATCTTCGCGCATGCGTACTATGTAGTTTACACAAGGGCACGCGGTGTGCTTTTTGACAACCATGTGGAGGGAGTAAAGGAACTTCCAACTAAATATTTGGGCTAGTGTGAAAGCTGTTGGGCTAGTAGAATTAAGAGCTTACTAGCCCTACTGACCAGTTGGGGAAATTTTAGTTTGCACCCCTGTTACTCATGCGTAATTCCATACTGTTAGTGTTATGACCACACACACACAGTTTGCATAACTCTCTCCATTTATGTCGTTCATGAGTGGTCCAGGTGGATAGATTTAAAAAACATGTGGTGTAGAGATCAAAATCACATTTTTCCAACAGATTGGGGCTCTGTTACATATGCACACAATGATAAGGCTCACTTGATTAATGTGCTCATTAAACCTCTGCGCTGTTATTTGCAGCCTGTGTTAATGGAGCTGTTCGTCTGGTAAATGGGGCGAGTGCAAACGAAGGTCTAGTGGAGATTTGCTACAATCTGGAGTATGGAACAGTGTGTGACGATTTCTGGGATGAATTGGAGGCTAAAGTCGTCTGTAGACAACTAGGATACACATCTGGGCGGGTTAGTATAAAGAGATAAAAAAGTATCATACACACTGATTCATATCTCATGCAGACTCATTCCCATTCGTCCGAGGGTGGATTTGTGGAGGCGGGGATGGTCAATTCTTCACTAGACAACCTGAGATGTGTTCTGGAGACGAGAGCTTCGTCTTCTTTGAATGTGAGGAGTGGCGAAGTCGGTGTGCACTGACTGCAGCCAACAGTGGAAGATGCAGTGTCAGAGTGTCGCAGTACGGAAACATCAACAGCCAACAAAAGCTCTTAACATAAAAACCGTGAGTTGTGTTGTTTACACATGTTAGTGAATTGTGAAACCAGCCTACAATAATCTATAATAGTTGGTCTTGAAGGATAATCATCACAGGCCTTTAATTCATGGTGAGATATAATCCTTTGCAGCTTGAATTGTGAGGAAGGTGCTGTGGAGACTGGTACGTGTTGGAGATGATGCTGAGAACTTTGTACTACCAGGGCCTCGACATTGAGGACATATGGGACAGCACTTACTATGACAAGGCGTAGATGGTGGTGCGAGGTAGAGTGGGAAGTTGTGTCGGAGGAAGATTTATGGAAATCAGTATGCCAATGAACACTGGGACTATGAAGATGCCTTCGGTCGTCTTGCTCTTCAACTTGGATTATAGCGTTATGGTTACTAGAAAAAATGTGATGCATTTTTGCAGGGGCGTTAGCTAGCATTGAGCAGAGGAGGCAGTTGCCCCCTCCGTTTATGCGACCAAGCGGATAATTTAGGCTAATTACACCTTTTCACAGCGTAACCAACGATCTGAGCGCAGCAGCGAGAAGCATGCATGTTAGCACTGGGTTGACATTCAACCAGAGCGACATCTCCTCCAGAGAGTATCTTACAAGCCTGGATCGCTCCGGGCATCGCCGTCTTGCTCCGGCCTCGCGATCATCGCGAGTAAACACTGATATTGCGCAAACACTTTGCACATGGTGCAATTAATCAATGCGGATATGCCATTGCCTCCCCTAAGATATCAGTCTGGCTACACCCCCTGTTTGGCAACAAGTCAACACGAGCAGTGTTTCAACTATAGTATTTGTGCATAATGTGTGCAGTGCATGCAATGTGTGTGCACAAGCATACAAAATATATATTAAAGACCTCACATTCAGATGATCTATGTGGGATCACTTAGCTCGCAATAATTTCACTACTAAGAGCCATATTCTAAACATGAAATAATGTTCTACGTTCAGGTGCTATCAATGTTCAGTGCACCGGAACATTTCAGTGAGGGAGTGGAGGTCCAGTCTCTTGCATTCGGTCACCTGCTCGGGAACAGAAACTGAGATTCTTGGAATGTAGTCACATGCTAGCTCTACAGGGTTATTTTGCAACAGTTCTGGTGTTTGTGTCAAGGTAGGGATTAGTAAAAAATAATCTGCAATCCCATTTACATCATTGGTGTTTTGCAGGCCATAGATGATGTTGGTTCGCGTCAAAACTGTACAACTGGCTGACGTGAGGCTGTGGGGAGTGAAGATGGTGATTGAGGAGACTGGAGGTGTGTCTGGACTGTGGTAATCCTCTCTGAACTAGAGAATGGAAGAATGTTCAAACCTGGTCCATCACAAACAACGTACAATTCTACTGTTACTTACGAGTGCAAAGACGATTATCACTTTCAAAACAATGACACGTCACGAACTTGTCTTTCCAGTGGAAACTGGTCGGACGAAAGATCTTATGTAGTGAGTGTCATTCACTAAATTAATATTTTACAGTTTAGCATTGTAGATTGGGCCTACTGGTGCCTTGTTTAAACAAGTTATTGGCGAGTGAGAGCGAGCTAATGAAGTGGTTCCAACGGCGCGATTTCCTTTATATACAATTTTTTTAATCGTACGTCGTCCACGCGCTTCTTTTTATCCGAAAAACATTTCACATTTTTACACCGTAAATTTCTCAACGCTAGTATATAACTCGCGGAAAGTGTGACACAGCCCAACTACACTAGTAGATAGCATGCATGAGTCTGTCTGCCGACGCTTACGCCAGAATAAGCGTCGGCAGACAGATAGACACACAGAATGACTACTGTAACCCTTAGTGCGCATGCGTGTTGAGGATACGCTGCAGCGTGCGCAAGTGCTACCTGTGCTTAGATCCCGGTGATTTGAAATCGCGCAATTTCATTGGTCCAAACGCGGGATCTATTTTCCGTAGATCCCGCTGCCCCGGACGACGGGATCTATTGGGGAGCGAGCGTGAAGACGCGATAGGTAAGAGACTCGAGCGAGGTTTCAGCTACCAGCGGCGAGCCAGAAACGGTAGGCGAAAGCTACAGCATTCCCTCGTCGTCCGCCGCGCTTCGCGGAAAAGGGCTCCGCCCACTCTACGCGCACGTATCTGCCAGAGCGTTCGAGGATTGGCTCGCGGCGAGCATGAGTATGTCGAGTTCCTTCTCGGAGTCTTCCTGGTCTAGACAAGATAGTAACAGCTCGCCTGGCGCGGCCATATCTTCGCAAACAGTTTGAATGGATCTAAACCGGTTAGACGCGTCGCCACGGTAACTACGCGTGGTAGAGTGCCTCGGGCTCCCTAGTAGCGCCCTCGCTGCGCTCGGGACGCCGACAGCTCGGGAGCCCTCGGCACTCTACCACGCGTAGTCACCTCGGCTCCGCATCTAACCTATATATATACATATGGCTGGTATGCTATTTCATGCGTCAGGATAATGCGCTTCTACACGCTGCTAGGATTGCTCGTGCAGATACAGTCATTGTGTGCGACACAATCAAGCATCGCCATAGCAACATTCTCACATATTCCTCCAGATTTGTACATTTAACTTACATAATATGTACACACAGTTTAGCTACGTACATGTATAGCAGAGGAATATTTGATCTTCCAAAACAGCGGCGGAGATACTAGGGGGGCAGGGGGTACTTTGGCACCCCACTTTTTGAGGATGGGGGGCTGGGGGGCACAAAGGTATTTCAGTTTGTGAAATCATCTGAAAAATTGAATTAATGTGTACTTAAATGTTGTCCTGTAAATTATTTCTTACTGATACAGGTCTGGACTGTGGTCTTCCTCCTGAACTAGAGAATGGAAGAATGTCAAACCTGTCCATCACAACAACGTACAATTCTACTGTTACTTACGAGTGCAAAGACGGTTATTACTTTCACAACAATGACACGTCACGAACTTGTCTTTCCAGTGGAAACTGGTCGGACGAAAACATCTTATGTAGTGAGTGTCATTCACTAAATTACTATTTTACAGTTTAGCATTGTAGATTGGGCCTACTGGTGCCTTGTTTAAACAAGTTATTGGCGAGCGAGAGCGAGCTAACGTAGTGGTTCCAACGGCACGATTTCCTTTATATACAATTTTTTAACCGTACGTCGTCCACGCGCTTCTTTTTATCCGAAAAACATTTCAAATTTTTACACCGTAAATTTCTCTACGTTAGTATATAACTCGCGGAAAGTGTGACACAGCCCAACTACACTAGTAGATAGCATGCATGAGTCTGTCTGCCGACGCTTATGCCAGAATAAGCGTCGGCAGACAGATAGACACACAGAATGACTACTGTAACCCTTAGTGCGCATGCGCATTGAGGATACGCTGCAGCGTGCGCATGTGCTACCTGTGCATATACCTATGGCTGGTATGCTATTTCATGCGTCAGGATAACGCGCTTCTACACGCTGCTAGGATGGCTCGTGCAGATACAGTCATTGTGTGCTCGCTCCCGCTTGCCAAAAGTGCCATGCATTCGCCTACTAGTATACTTTGTGAGTCAGAGTGCGCATTACAACATATAGATAAACTGCATTTGCTGATTCTCCACTTGTATTTCAATCTCCACAGAAGAAGACAGTATCTGTGAAGGGATTTTCTGTCCGTTTGGTGCTGGTGTTCTGACTGCCATATTCATCAGTGCTGCAGTTATTCTGGTACTGTTGTGTTTAGCAGGCGGCTGTGTGGTGAGACAGAGGCTGAGGAAATCAAAACGCTCTAGTAATATTTCGTGAGTGAAAAAAATACAAGTCCCAACAACACATTGAGTAAGCAGTGGGAAAAGAAAGGAAGTCACCTTGGTGAATTTCGTGGCTTATGAGTAAGGAAATTGTCCATAGAACAAGCAACAAGCAATCGGCAACTGTGTCTCGCAAATTCTCTTTTGGCTACTGATACAGGAAACTTTTCTCCCTACAATGTATCCTGCTGTGTATAGCTACCAGTATATAGTTGCCAAAAAGAGGGAGAATTAGCAAGTTATGGCTTATGAAAACACCCCCTATTATAGCAGGGCTGCAACAATCTTTGTCCTGAGAAAAACATTTGCATATCAATTAGCTACCTCTTGCAGTTTGTTTTTCTAAAAGACCAATAAACATAAAAGGTAACAGAGTCCTGGGATGTTAATAAAACTTCTTGTTCATAGCTACATGCATCACTCTACATTGGGATTTGGCAAACACTTGTTAACCCTCGGCGCGCATGCGCAGCGAGGGTTACGGTAGTTGTCCCGTAAGTGTGTCTGTCAGTCTGTCAGTCTGTCTGTTACCACGTTTTCTGCCACCGCGCGCACGAAATCAGGTAAATAGCGATATGATCGGGTTCAGTGTTACACTGGGTTGATTTTAAAAAAGGTGATTTTCGTAAAACTACTGTGTTCTAAAGTTATGGCGTGAAAACCAAGTGAACAAGCCAATATATAAATGAAAAGCACTGAAGTGCAAACCCTCGGCGTTCTGTGACGCGCACGCGTAAGTAAACGCATGCGCCGTACTACTAATTGCTGGGCTGGGTTTAGTTTTAGCTGTTACCCGTGGTCTCTTGCCAGCTCGCGCAGAGTCTGACGCGGGCTAACTACACTACTAGATAGCATGCGAGAGGCGATACACGCCATGCGTTGCATCTTCTGGTGCCTCCGAGGTACGCAGAGCACGCGGATCGATCATGCCGTAGTAAGCCGTTGTGTATTTGCATATTGGCTTTTTCGCGCTCTAGCTCTGCAACGGAGCGTTTTCAGCGAAAACCCCACATATTTTCTGACCTTCATTGCCCGTTCAGTAGGTGGTATCCTTTGTGAGACGAACGAACACTCGAGAAGTGAGATGACGAGTAACAGACACACAGACAGACAAACCCAATGAAAAGCACTAAAGTGCAAACCCTCGGCGAAGTAGCTCGCATAGAGTCTGACACGGGCTAGCTACAGTAGTAGAGAGCACGCGAGAGTCGATAAACGCCATTCGTTGTGACTTCTTGCGCCTTCAAGATAGACAGCAAGCGGACCCGGTCGAGGTCAGCCTGTGCTAAATATAAGCGCATGCGCATTATCCGCCAGCGATAAAATGGCGACTACCGGCATTAGCCATACAATACTGGAAGCGCTCTAGCTCTGCAACGCAGCATTTTCAGAGAAAACCCCACATATTTTCTGACCTTCGTCGCCCGTTGGGTAGATGGTATCGTTTCTGGGACGAACAGACATTCGAGAGGTGAGATGTAGAGTAACAGACAAACACACAGACAAACCCAACTACAGTAACCCTCGCTGCGCATGCGCGCCGAGGGTTAATTAGCACAGGCTTACCTCGACCGCGTCCGTTCGCTCTGTGTGTCTTGAAGGCACAACAAGTCACAACGAAGGGCATGTATCGACTCCCGCGTGCTATTTACTACTGTAGCTAGCCCGTGCCAGACTCTCCGCAAGCTACTAGCGGGAGATCACGAGTAAAGGTATAAAAAGCCCAGCCCATCAATTAGTGGTACCGCACATGCGCAGTTCGCCGAGGGTTTGCACTTTAGTGCTTTTCATTTTAATATAGTCAACTATTATTACTGGCACTCCCTTTAACTCATTTGATTTTACAGTGACAGAAAGGCAAACACATTGGAGTTACGTGCTCTTCCAGGTTAGTGTGCTGTCACACTGAAGCAGCTGGTCATAATTGATGCTATGATTATTATAAGAAGTACAAGGGTCATCCCTATCATCAGTCCCGACACTAAAGGAAGAGCTCAGCACAAAGAGAATGCTTTTCGAAAGTAGTCAACTACAACTAACCAAAGTTGTCGGTCAAGGTGTAAGAATCAAGAAAATCAATGTGGCAGTTGCATACATATTGATCACAATGCAGGAGAGTCAGGCCTGGTATACCGAGGATACATCAGAGAAAACGAGGGCAACATGCTAGTTGCCATAAAAACTGGCAAAGGTAGCTAATATTATTGTGGAACCCCTCTGTAGGGACACTACTAAAATGAGGACACATTCTTCTTTCTCAGATAAGAATTCTTGCATTCAATTTTGGCTACGCCTGAAATACGGAAACCTCTCTTTTCTCAGTCCAATTGGTGTCTAAACTAGGGAGGTTTCCTGTAATTATATCAAATGTAATTTGATTTGTCGCTTTTACTGTACAGCTTTAGTTGCGGTGACTGACAGGGAGAGGCTACTGAAGGAAGTTTCGCTCATGCTCACTTTCAGCCACCCCAATGTCATGCCACTAATTGGACTCTCATTTGATGAAGAGACGCCCCTGATCATTATGCCATTCATGTCAAATGGTACTGTTCTGAGCTATGTCAGAGACAACAGAAAGAGCCTGTATTTCCTGGAGTCATCTGACAACATCCAAGTAAGAAAATAGCAACGATTAATGCTCGTGTCAGCCATTAAATGCTCCGTATAGGTTGAAGCTGCCAAGAAGACCTGCCTAGGAATATGCTACCAGATATCGAATGGGATGGCTTATCTTGCTAACTACAGGCTTGTTCATCGCGACTTGGCTGCCAGGAATTGCATGTAAATGAGTTAGGACAACACTGTATGTTGGGGAATAGCATGGTTTTGTTTAGGATTGACGAAAAAGGCATCATTAAAGTAGCTGATTTCGGACTGACAGAAGATATGTACAGCACCATATACTACCGCCAAGAGAAAAGACAGACTGGAACTGAGGAGAAGGTCCCTATCAAGTGGATGGCTCTCGAGAGTATTGAAACACACGTTTTTGATGAGAGCACTGATGTGGTGAGTCAAGAATACCATGTATCCACTTGAATTAGTCATGTTGGTTGATCTAGTGGTCATTTGGAGTGACGTGTTGGGAGGTGTTCACATGTGGAGGAGTGCCGTATGCTGGGGTCCCAGTCACCACTCTACTGAGAGAGCTCCGCTCTGGACACAGACTCGATCGACCCAGCAACATCTCCTGCTCTGATGACATGTAAGAGCCAGAATACGCCCAACTTATCATCTAGCTGCCACACGACAGGAATAATTCAATAGGACAGGGAAGCGAGCCTAGCTACCTAGACCTCAGTAATGCACGATTATTGTAAGTTAGGAAGTGTAAAGATTCTAAACCTGGTTGGCAATGCTCATGTTCAATGCCCTAAATCATGTCACATTCTATATTCTGTATACATATTCAGACCTGTTATACATAATCTCAGTGCCAGTGCTTACACACCTACATTACTCAGTAACAATTCTTATCCAATCAACCCACAGATGGTCAGTTGTGACCTCATGCTGGTCGGCCAGTCCTCAGGAGAGACCAAAGTTTTCCACACTGGTCAACACCCTCACTGACCTCCTGGACAGTGACTCCAACTACATCAAACTACTGGGATAGACATTGATGTTTACTTTATACATGTGACCACCAGTTCCCAATTAGACTTCAATAAATTATGATAGTTACTTTATAATATATGCATAAAGTTCTGTAAATTCTGTGCCAGATGGCTCGTAGGTGCTAAAGCAACAGCTCTCTTTGGCTTTTATCTCAACGTCAGTTCCACTTAGGGGCAACGGCATTGCACCAGCTGCTGTTACAACTGTGGTACACATGTGGAGGAGTGCCCTATACTCCACACCACCAGCAAAATTGCTCTAACTGTTGGGGATGAGGAATGTTCATATGCCTTGCCACTGCCCACATCCCTACCTTCCGTGCCCAAGTCAAGGGTTTCAGTCTCCTGAACTGTAAAGATGGCTAACATACCTAGTCCATACTCATGTAGGGGTTTTTAAAATGTGAAGCGGGGCTAAAGCATTATCTATGTTGCGATAACAGAAACTCTCCACATAACAAATCTGTAACCGTAGAAACGTTATATCATAGTAAGTCAGGGCAAGAGCCACTTTTATTAGATGTCTAGCTTCATCACCGACCAATTTCTGCATCAGATTAAATTACAGTAACTGATAATATACTTACACTGCCATTGTACACACTTCAAAACTCTCCTTTTCAATGAGCCCAGACACATCCCTGCCCAGACACCTTTTCAGCTGTATACCGAGCACCTTTGCATTCTTCACAGTCATTGACTTAATCCAGGTATGTATGTAGTATGCAATGTACACAATGTATCATATTATACCAGTTTTGGGTCTTCACACTCATATGAGTAGACCAGGATATCTCTACAGCAATCTCCAAGCTGCCCTTTGCTCTTATAAACACCTTCAAAGCAGCTGTAAGAATGAAAAGCACTAAAGTGCAAACCATCGGCGAACTGCGCATGCGCGATACTACCAAATTGATGGGCTGGGCCGGCTATTTGTATGCGGTGGTCTTCCGCTAGTAGCCCGCGGAGAGTCAGACACGGGCTGGCTACAGTAGTAGATAGCATGACATGCCATTGGTTGTGACTTCCTGAGCCCCCAAGGTACACAGAGCGAGCGCCAGGTCGCGGTAAGCCATGCATATTGGCTTTTTCGCTTGTTTTCACGGCATATCTCTCGAACGAAATCGTTTCAGGAAATCGCCTAATTCAGGCTCCCGTAGTTCTGAATCCGGTGGTATCGCTAACGGACCGCCTCGTAGCCTGTAGTGCCAGAAAAAGCGTCGACACACACACAGACAGACAGACAGACAGACAGACAGACAACCGTAACCCTCGCTGCGCATGCGCGCCGAGGGTTGACAAGCAAGACTCTATACCTACCGTGTAACACAGTATTCTGCAGTGATTATCCTGTAGTGCCAGTACCCTAGATCAGGTGTGGCAGAACCACCAACTGTCGAATTCAAAATATCTTGACACTCGGGGACCAAAGAGGACTGAGCTCGAGCTATCGCCTGCCCCAAATTGACGTTTGTACGTTGGGCAGTCTACTCGGCCTAACTGTAAATATCAAAATGTCCGAAGGGATCGAAAAACGACAGACGAGAAACGACGAATGTCGAACGGTAAACATGATGCACAAATTGGACAAGGTGAATAAAACAAGACACACGATGAACGAATGACGCGACGCATGCAACGAGAAATGTTACGCACAAATTTTGTACTTGCATTTTTGATGGACAACATGACACACACAGCTTCCATCTCCTTTATGGCATTAGGTGTATACCTATCTTTTAGCTAGGTGACGTTAACTAGACTTCAATATGGGAGTGGGCGGGTAATATTTCATAAAGATTTTTGCACAATCTTCTCAGATTTTTGGCTATATTATGTTTTTCACAAGCTGATCAGTATTGAATGTTTCTCCTTGGAAAAACTAGTGCTCGGATTCCAATGGTTCTTTTTCCATTAGTTCTGCTCAGTGGGTGCGCGCAGGCGCATTAGAATCACCAAAAATCTTTCATCCAAGTCTACAACCCACGCCAATCATGGCCTGTCCCTATTACGTACTTACTTTCAAAACCGAGTTCCAAAACGCCGTACATCAACAAGTCGTCAACAGTTCCTGCTCCCTTTTTTAAATACTGCCCCTGTCCCCTTATGTCGCTCTCAGGGGGGAATTGTACAATTGACGTCAGCCTGGCCGCAAGTCCGGAATACAGAGGCTTTAGAAGGTCGATCCACTCGACCTCGAGCCAATCTATACCGAAATCCTCTAATAATTTTTGGGGAAGTCTTGTATGGGAGGTAACGTTTTGAGTGTCATTAAACCCCACTTAATTTGTCCACTTGCCATTATTCCTCCGTGATACAGTACGGGTCCTAGATGTGTACGACTCCACGTAGGCGATACGGCGAAGAAACTTATGTCGTTTGGGAAGATACCCGAAGCTTCTATACGCTGAAAACAGCAAGGACGACGTCAGAGCCCTTGGCTCCCTCAGCGACGGTATATATCATCACTTCGGCATTGCACATCAAGATGCAAGCGAGCGTGCACGGGAATATATTACTAGTAGGCGAATGCATGCATTTTTGGCGAGCGGAAGCGCACTTACAATGAGGTCTAATCGTATGAGTCACTCTTGTGTGTGCACAAAACAGTGAGATACATTGCACAGGACCAAGTTGGCCGAAACGACCCGAGCGCAGGTAGACAATTCGAGTCGAGTCAAAAACAGTCAGACGACAGCGCGAATCAGGCATAATCCGGCAATCTGATTGGTCTTGCAGGAATAGGGAACAAGTGGCAATGTAGAAAAATCTCTCGCTGGACTGTGCAGCAATACTCGATAGCTTCGGAGGTGTTGCGTTTCCCTGATTCCGCTCGATTCAGGCAGCATTATGAAAATGTTGAAATCCCTTTCGGATAAAAAGAAGCGCGTAATGCTGGAGCATGCGCAGTTGGACGACGTACGGGTACATATATATATATAATAGAGAGAAAAATCGCCTAGCTCCGCTCGCCAATTAGTTCCGGACAACGCATGGACGACCTGAGGTAATAATATCGAGTCGCTATCACGTCCTCTAACACTGAGCTAAGACAGAAATCACCCTTTGTTTTAAGCTCCAAACAAAGGCAATTTCCTGTACAAGAACGTGCACGTGCGGTCACGGGCAGGTGTTGCCGCGTCGCGAGGATACGCAGCAGGGCGCGACGCGGCACGGCGCGACGGGGGCACCCTCGGCGCGCATGCCAGACACAAGAGACATCACCCGTGGTTCCTATAGCCTCAGTTATTCTTAGACCCAGTACTGCCTTGAATTCTATCAACATTATGTAGGAACTGCTGCTTCTCCTACGGCCGCTCCTATTCCCTCCGATGGCCTGTACGACCGTATTTCTCCGATCCCTTCGTCCTCCATGATGGCCAGGGCGATAGGAACGGCGTTGAAGATGACCTTGCTGCCTATAAAATAGTGGCACTCTTCGATGATATCCTTCAACTTCCCAGAAAACCGCTCCGTATATAGCTACCCATCCTCGCAAGCAGAGACACCACTTTGGCTGCGACGGCCCTCTTCTTGGCGATCCTCAGGACGTTTTTCGACTTGCCAACTGCCGAAGACACCTCGTCGTTAACCTTCGCTATCTTTTTCTCGCAGGTAAACAATTTCCCGTCGTAGGCTTCGCCCAGACCTTCAACAATGATCTCTAGTTCCTCGCCGTCCTTGCAATAGTGGTGAGTGCTCCTGACAACCGGCTCCTCGGATTTCGTCGCCATTCTTTCCTCGGGCGCATGAATCCCCAGTAGAGGAATGTAACGAATTATTGTTTGGCGTGCGAGCAGTTTTGGCGCATCACGAAGAACATTATGTCTACAGCGCCCAACCGATAAGAAAATCCCCGCATTGAATTGAAACGACTATGTAGGCTCGCTTCGCTCTCCAATTATTTATTATAATGTGGGATCTACTTTTTAAGCCTTAACGGGTTAATGTGTTTCTCTGTCCATTATTGTTAGGCTATTTAGCTACCAAACCATGGTTCATGACAGAGTAAAAAACACATACAACTGAGACTGACACTGACTTTTATTCCACGGCTTATATCCCTATTTGTGTATGCAACATGTGTGATATATAACTTTTACAGTGGTATATATATAACCTTTTTCTTTACTGCAATTAACTATGTAGCTACATCATGGATGTCATTTGTAGTGACACGTTTGAGAAGTTCAAACTACTGGAAACCTCAACTTGTTTGTTGGCAAATAGGCTTTCAGCTTCTCTGAAGAAAGGTAAGTAAAAAATAATATTAGACAGCTATCACGTGATAACCTTAGTACCTTGAACGGCACACCTTTTATAAACCTGTTTGATAATAATAATAATATGATTAAAGTAGACCTCTATCCAGAGACGATAATGCTTATACCCACCTATGAAGCTTCATCATATTCTTTCTGTGAAGGAGGATGGCATAACCACTACAGCAATCACTAAAAAACTAGTGAAGGAAATAGTGATGGCAACAGTCACTGCACTGCGGTCTTTTGATACGGAATGGGATGGTGGGTGTTGCAATAGCACATTTGCACTTCTCTGGCAGCTGAATAATTACCGAAGCAGTTGAGATGTACACGAGATGTCTCATACACCACTGTGAGTATCGACTGAAACTCTATGGCTTTGCAGTTGAAGTATTCACAGATGTTGTCCATGTCAAAATTAAAAGTGACATATAGCACTTTGTCGATGTGCGTTAACAAAAGTAAGGGCTTTTGACGTGTATTGAAAGAGAGGCACTCTTTCTGTAGTAGACATATGTGATGGTGGTTAGCTATTAGCTATACTCCTATGAGGGATGTTCCCAAATGTAGAGGATAGCAACATTTACGATGATTTTTTTGGTTTTTGAATGGGCGATTCAAAGGCGCGCTATAGTACTGTATATTCGTCATACAGAACACTTTTTGTTATTTTGTGCTCCTATAATAATATATAATAACATTACTAATTTTCTCATCCATCATTATCACCACATTTTAACACCGTGATTCACAAAGTATCTGATATTATTATAAACTCATGTAGCTGAGGGAGACCCTGCATACTCCACAAGGGTGAGCTCAACGGCATAAAATTTCCC